AGGGTAGGTTTAGGGTTAGTAGAATAAGTTGACAAAGAAAGTGTTAGAAGATATTAAGTAGACGGTCTACTAATACTCTACTAACTGCTAGTTGACATGTAGTTGCAAAGTTACCTTCTCCTCTTCCTCTCCATACTCCCTCTCCACCTCCTACTCTTCCTCTTCCTTAATTTCTTTCTCTACTCCCTACTCCTCCTCATCCTCCTCCTTCTCCTCGCCCTCTCCACTTCCTACTCTTCCTCTTCCTTCATTTCTTTTTCTACTCATTACTCCTCCTCCTTCTCCTCTTCCTCTCTGTACTCCCTCCTCCTCCTCTTCCTCCTCCTCCTCTCTCTCTTTCTCCTCCTCCTCTCTCTCTTCCTCCTCTTCCTCTCCATACTCCCTCTCCACCTCCTACTCTTCCTCTTCCTTAATTTCTTTCTCTACTCCCTACTCATCCTCCTCCTCTTCCTCCTCTTCCTCTCCGTACTCCCCTCTTCTTCTCCGTACTTCCTCTTCCTTAATTTCTTTCTCTACTCCCTACTCCTCCTCCTCCTTCTCCTCTCCCTCTCCACCTCCTACTCTTCCTCTTCCTTTATTTCGTTTTCTACTCCCTACTCCTTCTCTTCCTCTTTGTACTCCCTCTCCACCTCCTACGCTTCCTCTTCCTTCATTTCTTTCTCTACTCCCTCCTCCTCCTCTACCTCTTCCTCCTCTTCTTCTCCGTTCTCCCCCTCCTACTCTTCCTCTTCCTTAATTTCTTTCTCTACTCCCTACTTCTCCTCATCCTCCTCCTTCTCCTCTCCCTCTCCACCTCCTACTCTTCCTCTTCCTTTATTTCTTTTTCTACTCCCTACTCCTTCTTCATCTCCCTCTCCCTACTCCCTCTCCACTTCCTACTCTTCCTCTTCCTTCATTTCTTTTTCTACTCATTACTCCTCCTCCTTCTCCTCTTCTTCTCTGTACTCCCTCTCCACTTCCTACTCTTCCTCTATCTAATTTCTTTCTCTACTCATTACTCCTCCTTCTCTTCCTCTCCGTACTCCCTCTCCACGTCCTACTGTTCCTCTTCCTTTATTTCTGTCTCTACTCATTACTCCGGTTACACTTTATTTCGATAGTCCACTTTAGACATTCTACTAACTATAAGTAACTTTGTAACTACATGTCAACTACATGTCAACTAATTCTCATTAATTTGCACCTACATGTCTACTAACTCTCAAAGTAAACTGTTAGGGTAGGTTTAGGGTTAGTAGAATAAGTTGACAAAGAAAGTGTTAGAAGATATTAAGCAGACAGTCTACTAATACTCTACTAACTGCTAGTTGACATGTAGTTGCAAAGTTACTTACTGTTAATAGAATGTCTAAAGTGGACTATCGAAATAAAGTGTAACCCCCTTTTTTTTTTTTGTAGTTATAGCTCTGGAAATGTGCTGAAATTGTTTGCTACATTAATAAATAATATATTTTTTAAATGTTCTACCCAAGACTGATTGATCAGAAGGTACACAAGTTGGTTTGAAGGGACATTTGAACCAAAAACAAAAAGACAAAACATTTACTCAAACTCATGTCTTTTCAATCCCTCATCTTTAAAACAAAAATGAAGATATTATTAATATTATCTCGTTGTCCATCCATTAAAAGTCTATTAACAAACAGAAGTCAAGCAAGCATATTTGAGCCATGATCTAAAAGTGGATCTGTCACCCATGGCTTTTCCATTTTGGCCTAGTTTTTGTTACATAAATAATGACACGGTGTGATATGTCATGTGTTGTTGTTCATCTGAAGTTTTATTTTCCAGATTTTAAGACCTGCTAAGGACCAGATTTTTATTATTTTATTACGTCCTGATATGGAAAGCCAGGGAATTCAATAGGGTGCCCTTTCTTTTTCACATGACTGTACATCTTGGATGGCCTGAGGGGGAGTAAAGTATCAGCAAATTTTCATTTTTGGGTGAACTATTCCTTTAAAAAGTATTTTCTGATGAATAAACGTCTTATGGGTTTGGAACAACATTTTCATTTTTGGTTCGACTAACCCTTTAAGCCATAATTTTAAATTTGATAATTAGTAATTTAACAAAACTCATTCGCCCATAGATACTTACTTGTTACCCTTGGTCTCTAAGGTCATGCGTTCAGGTTCTGTCATTTCCATGTAGTTCTTGGACCAGACGAATTTGGAGTCAGCGGTGAGGTTAGAGCACTCAAAATTCAGTGAAATGACGCCGTCATCGTCAACATTCACAACTATCTCGGTAGTTCCTGTGAGAAAGAAATGGCTTGTTGGATTTTGTTGAGAGTAGTTAAGTCTTGTTGATTTTGGTTTGTTTTTAGGGTTAACCTGGATTTAAAAACAACTCTAAACAGATTCCTCATTTGCAAAAGCACCCACTGTAAAGATTATGAGATTACGTGTAAAAAGAAAAAAAAAAAAGTAATTTTCAGAGGTATATCAAGTTATTTGAAGAGAGATCATGAAGACAAATGTATGAATTGTACAGAAGAAAAGGATAATTTTAATTTATTTCACATTGATTTCAATTTTATCTGCAGTAGCTTTTTTTGCAGTACAGTAAAATGTTATTTGATAAATTCTAGTTCTGTCTAGTTTAGTACCTGGTTTAGTCACTGCCTCAACTGGTTCTGTTGGATCTGATGCTTTTCCTACACCGGCTTTGTTCTGAGCGCGCACACGGAAAACATACGATTCCCCCTCCTTTAGATCCTTGATCTAGAATAAGAGAAACAACATTTACTACCATAAACCTACCCTTGTGAAAAAAGAAGTGTGCTTAATTGTATTAAATGTGAACTTGTAGTGTGCTTCAAATCTTAAAAGTATATTTAAAAAGATGACATAATTGTATAGATAATAGTTATGAAATAAAAGGCCACTTAAGTGACTCAAAGAGTGACACTTTCATGTCATAACACACTTAAGTACACTTTTAAAAAGTGCACTTTTTAATGTAAAATTAAAAGTTGTAAAGTACATTTTGAGTCAATATGTTTTAATAATCTTTTTTTGTGCTTATTTTGACATACTACAGCACATGTAGAGGTTATGGTTAATATATATTAAATGTACTAAATTGCAATTATCATTTCAAATGAGTAATTACAAATATATTTAAATACATGACATACAAGTTTCAATAGAAATGACATTAAAGTATATTTTAGTTTAACATAAATGCTTGTAAGTACATTCAATGGTACGTTAACCATATTTCAAAGACAACAGAAGTAATTATGAAATTACATATAAAGATGTACTTAAGTCCTACTTAAGTCCTACTTAAGTGGGTAAAAAACCCTCTAAAGTTCAGCTAATTGCATTTAATACAAATTTATGTATTAAAAAATATTTTAATTGCAATTAACATGCAGTTAAGTTTCCAAAAACATTACATTGAGTTTTCACTTAAGTATATCCTTTTAAATTATTTCCATAATAAGTACTCATTTTAAAAGTATGCTACAAGAGTACTTAATTTTCTCAAAGGTATACCAATATCACAACCCTTAACAAACTCCACTGCCCTACGGCTTCCATATGCATACAAACCTTCTTGAATGTCTTGTCAGTAGCTTTCTCATTGACTCCTCTCCACATCTCAAAGTCTGCGTCAGCCTCTTTGATATCAATGTAGTATCCATTGACAGCATCACGACCCTGGTAGACAGGCGGTTTCCAGAGCAAGACCAGAGAGTCCTTACGCACCTCCTGTACTTGGAGGTCATGGGGTGGTCCTAAAAACAGG